AATTTGGCAGTGCTCTTGCTGAGCTGGCCAGGTTACTACTGTGTTAAACGGTTGTACTTCAGTGAGCAACCAGAAATGGCAACACACAGGCACAGCACATGCATGGCAACACTAGAGAGACCATTTAGAGGCCTCCTCAGTTACAGTATTATTTTCTTTAGCAAGTGAGAAGAAAAGATAAAAAATTTCAAGAGCTTTTTAGTGTTGTCGGAGGTATGGAGGATTAAACTTCACTTCAAAATGCCTTCACCAAGCCTGCTCAGTATTTCTCGTGGTGGGAAATCAAAGCTCTGCCATGGTAAATACCTGCTGTCCATTACGTTTTTAATGCAATCTTTCAAAATTTCATCGAGCCTTTTAACAAACAGTGAGTAATTTTAGATAATGAGCAAGAGACACAACATTTTTGTCATCCTTGTTATCGCTTTGGTAAGAACAAGGCTGCTTTTGCACTGGAGCTAGTGAATTTTGATGGCAAGTTCTCAGGCTCTCCATCCACATGCTGTTGCCTACACAATCAGTTGCGAGTTGCCATCTGAACACGGCTTTTATTTCCACCCTGTGCATCCTTTTAGTGTTTGCCTTTCATGCCTCTCCACCAAGTATATGTGAGGGACAAATGAAGTTGAAGGCAGAGGTGAATGGGAGCAAGGAGGAGTAGGATGAAGAGTCAATACCAGCGGTACAAGGCTCCTGCTCGGATTTGTTGCGTGTAAAACCTCACACGTTGAACCAAGGTGGGAGAGCCACACGATGCACTCTATGCCGCTGAGCTGTGTAGGACGTGGGCTCCTAAATGAGCATCTCTGGTGCAAACCCACAAGTGGAGAATGCAGTGTAGCTCCTGGAGGAAAACTGTGCTCTAAGCAAATCTGCTTTTTGTATTCTCTCATGCTACCTAGTTAGCCCTCCCCCCTTACAGTGCCCGGTATTTATGTTTCCAGACAATAATGATGTGATGTGGCTGGCAGAGTAATTTAAATAATTGGACATTATCTTGAGAAGCAAGCGCCTAATTAGATCAAAATAAACTGAGAACTGAAATTTTCATCTGTTTCTAATAACCCTTTACCTATGTACAGTATCACTGCCGTGGCAGAGATTTCATTATTCGCACCACTGTCTGTACTTAGAGTTCACTAGTGATGGAGACTCCTGCAAGAGCAAAGAGCTTGGTGGTATTTTTTGGCCAAGGCTTAGTGGCTCATTCCTCTCCTGGTACGGCAGAGTATTTTGCAGTCTTACTGTGTTGTATTTGGCCCTTGTATAACCAGTGAGGTTTGAAGTTTGTATCAGCAGTCCGGGTTTGAATGCGTAGTTTCAGAGTTAAAAGGCTCAAAGAAGGTCTGATCTTATAACTATGTTTTTTCTTTCTCTGATTTTATCTAGCAGTTTATAATCTATTAGTTCCTTTGTGTGTATGCATTGAAAAAATAGCAGCTAGCATGATCACTGAAGAAAAGAGAAGTCATTTTAGTACATATGAGGAAGAGGCAGCTTGCACATTCTCCAGCATTAGGTATGCTTGGGACCATCTGAGCGCATGATGATGTTGCCTCTCCAGCAAGCTGCCTTTAATCTGGTCCTGAGAAAAAGACTCCGCTGGATTTTGAAAGTTCGGTAACAGAGTCTTGTTTTGGCTTTGACAACTACAACTGAAAGTCTCTGGTGTTGAGGGTGTCGTTTAGAGTGGAAGTTATCAGGATTACAGCTAAGGGAAGAAAATGAGGGAAATATTTACTAGCTGATGTACGTTTCCTTTATTTTTAGGGGTTGGTTTGGTGTCTTTCTCCTGATTAGTTGCTCTTCCTCACATTTCCTCATACTCTTATTCAGCTGATTTATTTAAAGGTATGTCAGCGCTGGCTGAGATGAAACACTGGGCCTCCTCTTCCTGCTTATTGCTGACCGCTCCAATAATTCATTTTTTAGCTCATTAGCTAACAGGGGATGTGAACAGTGGTCCTCCAGGGGACTGCAATGAGGTTAAGTGATCTACTGCTGACAACTCTGCTCTTGGACTGGCCTTCCTTGGGGGAAATGAAACCTTGACCAAGACAAGCTGTGGATCCCAGCAGTGAAATTGGGGCATCAGAGAAACAATTACAGTATTTATGTCTTGTTGTCGGGATTTCTAAGATGAATGCGAGTGGCGGAGCTGAAGCTGTCTTCCAGGAAAGTCCCCAGGACTTTCCCTTCAAAATGAAATGGTTTGTGCCAGAGATGTAGGGAGGATGTCCATGGACGTTGGCTTTCTAGATACTCATTCAAAAACGGTCCCACTACATTTTGGCTGTCCATGGGGCGTGGGCGAGTGTGCTTTTCCTCCTACCTCTATGATGAAGTTTCGTTTTCTGCCAGAAAATACAAACAACCTATATTTCTTGTGCCCAGTTTGTACAGTTGAATATGATCTAAATCTCATTTGATAGCTGATGTCAGTGACATGCTGCCCCCAAATGTCTGAGGCTTTTAAAACACCTTTATTTTTGTTTGTAATGTTCGCTGTTTTCCCACCACAACCCTTAATGTCACTCCAAAAGTGGAATTTGGCCTTAATGAAATGAGTCTTTTGGTGGCCTACATGGTCAAGAAAAATTAGGCCGGTTTTCTGAAAAGGGAAACTGAAGTGAGGTAAAATAACCAGGTGCGAAGGTTGAATTTTTAGGCGAGCGTAGCCCAGTGGCACAGCCTGCTGCTGGCTGCAGGGACCTGCTCTGGCCAGGCACGCCAGTGAGCATCTCCTGAGGGACCCCATGTCTCCTTATCTGCTGCCTGGCTCTGCAGTAGATTTCCTCCAGTGAAGGGATGGATCCTGACCAGAGCGTACAGTCAGTGTTAACGCAGAGCATTTACGGGTTACTTGATCATACTGCAGGAGAGTGCTTTAAGGAAGGACAATTTGCATCCTCTCCATCACTAATACAGGTGGCAGCATGTTCCCCTTCCTCAGAGTTAGATTTATTTTTAAATGGGTTTTCTGTTCTTTTCCCAGCCTTTTGAGACAGTAGGATAAACCTGAGCATCATCGGGTTGTTGGTGTCTCTCCTGCTCTCTTGCAGCCTTCCAAGAGCAACAGGATTGCCTTTGCTCCCATGCGATGCACGGCAAATGTGAAATTCGTGCCAATGAATTCATAAACCAGCAGCCTAAAGCTCTGAAAGCCTCCGCCTGAACTTGGCACTCATTGCCTCTGTTTCGGTACATACCATAGCTCACTATTACGGTTTAAGGTGAATTGTGATTACAAGTGGGAGACTTGTGTAAAACAGCTTGCGTTCTAAACAGAAAGGGACTTCTCTTCAAGCCATGGTGATCACAGCAACTGATGCTCTGACAGGAGCCAAAACTTACTATCACTCAAAAGATGGTCTGGGGGACAGAGGGGATTCATTTGCAGACTCTATTTAAACATAGACATATTTAAAAAACATAGGAGAGCTTTACTAAACATTCTTGAAGATACACTAGATGGTTACCGGACCTAGAAGTGTTGCAATGTTGCAAGAATGCCCATTTTATTGTAAATAATTGCATGGATATTATTTTATCCTCCTTGTTGCACTGGTTTTGGTTTGGTTTTTTAACCTTAAAAAAATACAAGCACAAAAAACATGAGTTAAGGATGCAGTAGTAACAGAAGTCCTTTTCTTCCTCCTCTCCATCTGGAATACCTGAAACGATACTCTGTTTATCAGATCCTGCCATCAAAGGGTAATTTGCAGCTCCCCAAATGTTTTTTTTCTTTTGTGTGTGTCTTTTAGCTTGCAGGAGTCATTCAAAGGTTTGATTTAAACGAAGCACTCTTTGTGTTAATTTTCTGTTTGCACTTTTGCTCTGAAAAAAGCCCTGGACCTGTTTGTAAGGTAAATTGTGGTGGGGTAGAGAAGCGCCTGCTTTGGGAAGCTGTGCCTGAAAGCATCCAGGGAGGTCAAAGCAAGGTCACTCCACATGTACCAGGAAATGATGCAAAACTAATCCAGATTTGCTGTTGGAAGGATCTGTTTACATAAGTATTTAAAAACAGATTAGGGCTAACCTGACACTAGATTACTGAGAGTAGTGTAAACACGGCTGAAAGGCGTAAACAGAGCTTTGCCTTTTGTACTCCAGAGCAGAAAATCTGTCACTGGTAACAAGTTGCCTGGCTTAGGTGATATATATGGTTTTCACAGACTGGACAGATTACCTGAGGTACCTCTAAATGGGACTTTGTCTAAGGCTAGATCTCTTAGATCATATAATTGTATGGTAATTTTTTTAATGGAGAGTTGAGGGACCTGTTTGTAGTCCTTGTTATCCTGTAACCTAATAGCATCCAGAAGGCTTTTGATAGTTCTTTGACATATCAGGAGGAAATGGTGCTTCAAAGTATTGTTTTAGTGGTTTGCATTTTGGAAAAACAAACAGAGGAACCATCCATATGCCTTTTGCATTGGAAACATTGCTCAACTTGTAGAAGGAAAAAGCACCCTTCGCAAGCAAGGCTGTGTGTGTCTTTCAGGGCTTGCTCTCCCGTCTGAAATGCAAGCCCAGGCGCTTGGTTACTTCTGGTCTTAGATACAGAAATTTGGTGCATTTTCTGTAATGTGTTTTGCAGCACAACCTTAATGTGGAACCAGGCTGCCTGTTTTGTCTTTTATCTTCATGATGGTGAGGGCTCTTGCACTGACTTCTTGCCAGTCCTCAGGGCAGCCTGGGGGTTTTTAAGACCTCTTGGCTGTTGTGATCTTATGACCCTGTAGGCATGGCATCCACCAAGAGGGATCTCAGGCATTGCAATAATATCGCTCGGTAATGAAGAGATGGGTGACATAAATATCGCTGCGAAGATAAGGTTTGGATGAACTGTTTCTATGATGGCTTTCTTGCCAAGGGGGAATAATTTTTGTGTTGGTTAACTGCTGTTTGCTAGCATAATGATAGCTGAAGCTGAACTTGCACCATTTTAGAGTCAGCGAAGTTGGGTTAGAGTGACCTGTCTCCTTTGGCTTCTCTAGGGAAGAAAAAGAGCGCTGGATACGTGCGAAATACGAGCAGAAGCTCTTCCTTGCCCCGCTGCAGTGCCTGGAGCTTTCTCTGGGTCAGCATCTCCTGAGGGCTACAGCTGAGGAGGACTTGCGGACAGTCATCCTGCTCCTTGCCCACGGGACTCGGGAAGAGGTGAATGAGACCTGCGGAGACGGTGATGGGCGCACTGCCCTCCACTTGGCGTGCAGGAAAGGAAACGTGGTGTTAGTGCAGCTCTTGATTTGGGTAAGTACTTGGTGTCTTGGGAGGGGGCTGGCTGCGTTGGCTTTCGCTTCGCTTATGTCCCTCAGCAGGACCTCCCAAACCTCCTTTCTGCGGGTTCCACAAAGCCTTTGCTGGTGTGCCGAGTCTAGATGTTCCTCATTGCATGTTCTCAAAAGGCAGCAATGTGATAAAAAAGTATATTTCTGCCTGTCTGCTGCTACTTGACGGAAAGTAAAGGAGAGCGTAGGAAATGAGGAAGGAGATATTTCCCTAGCACCTGTTTGAAACACCACCGTGGCAAATTTTGTTCCACACATGAGCCTCTCCCCATAGAAACGTTCACGTATGTGACGCAGTGCTGCTCACGTTGTCAGGCTGGTATCCTGCCTGCTCTCTTCTCCCTCTCCCCATCCTCAGTTACATTCAAACCAATCTGTCCCAAGTCGCTCCCTTCATTTTAACGCTCTGTTGGCACCGCAGCTTCCAACAACACATCTCTTCTTTCTGTAGTATGGCGTCGACGTGATGGCACGCGATGCCCATGGAAACACGGCACTGGCCTACGCCCGGCAGGCCTCCAGCCAGGAGTGCATTGACGTTCTCCTCCAGTACGGCTGCCCTGACGAGCGCTTTGTCCTCATGGCCACTCCAAACTTGTCCAGGAAGAACAACAACCGGAACAACAGCAGCGGAAGGATGCCCACCATCATCTGAGGAGCTCACTCGTGTATTCGCTGACCTGAATTACATCCGCAGCCTCATATTCCTCCATCCCCATCACGGCTCTGCTCTGTGAGTCTGGTAACTCTCCTTTTCCGTTTTCCCTTCGGTACATCCCTGTCCTATCCGGAAATGGCGCATCTGGAGAGCGCGAGGGGATGAGAAGGAGCAAAAGGGGCTGCAGAGAAAGCAGTTGTTTCAGTGACAGCTCTCGAAGGATGGAAACAAGCGGGCGAGAGCGCGTGGGTTGAGCAGGACACGCTGCACATGGCACCGGGACCATGGGATAGCGGTCATCCCCAGGGGGGACGCAGGCTCCCCGAGCGTGGAGGGAAGGGGCGGAGGGAGAGGCGAGCAAGAGGAGAAGGAAGGAGAGATGGTGACTTTCCGTAACTGACAGTTAAGCACATCAGTACATTTCACCTCTACCAAACGCGACGCCTGGATTTCATTCTCTTCTCTGAAGAGCTTGACGGCATAAATCAGAAGCAAGCACAGAGTTTGTCAGGTTTGAAGCTCCTATGATGGTATGTGTCAAATCAGTTGTAGCTAATCTGTCCGGGGAGAATACTGGCTTCATTACACTTGTATAGTTGAGTTCTTCCAGCATTACCGCTGTTTAATAGAACATGATTAGTCATCACGGAGAAAAAAGCATATTAGCTGAGGAGGTAGTTACATGGCACGCTTCGGTGATTGCTTGGATGTGATTGCAATATTCTTAGAAGCATCATATTATCTCAGACATGTTCTTTCAAGCCCTTGGAGCCCTCCTTTCTAAATTCACTGTCATAATTTAGTATCTGTTTAATTTTTCAGTCCAAAGAGAGGAAATGAGTTGCTGAGTGTTATTTGACTGCAGTCTCCTTGGTGTAAAAACAAAATGGAAAAAATAAATAAGAGTAACTATGAAACACAAAAAGGAATAATGAATACCGCTAAGGAAAAACATTTCAAGTACATTTAGTGAAATTAATAAACGTATTAAAGGCTAATATTTTTTCAGCCAGCAGAAATAGGTTCTGTCATTTTGCCAAGGTAAATGTGTTGAGTTTTTGGTCACTCCTGTGATGCATTGCCTAACTTATACAGATTTTTGTATTGTGTCTCTAGATTATATCTATGTAAAATCTATTTGAATAAAAAAAACATAAATATGCATTGATTTTTTTTTTGTACAGAAAATGACATCTCTGTTAATTTATAAACTGTAATGGATGTGAACTAAATAATGTGCAACTAGTTAGGATCTGTGGGTTGCAGATCATTGTACATTGAAAATATTCCCAGCAGTGAACTCTTGTTTCCATCACAAGCCTTTGAGGAACATATCAGAAGGAGATTATGGCACGTTTGGTGTGGAAAAATAAGCGTACAAGACCTTTTAGAAAGGAAAAAGAGGCTGTTTCTCAGTGCTGTAAATATATTTTACTCCAGAAGTCACGAAGCTTTCACAAGCCAAGACAAAAAGCCCTAGTCTGGCTGTGGGAAGATCAGATTTGATTAAGTTCAGAATTGATAGCCTTCACCGCGGCGGGCGGGGCATGGCTGCGCTTGACTCCCAACTTGGCTGCTTTCTGGAAGAAAAATGGCTTGTGAAAGTAGCCTGGACAGTTCATTTGAATTCCAAGTTTTAATACTTGATTTGATTATTTTGGTATTACCAGGCAGATCCCAGCTTCTCCTGTTTTCAACAAAGTAGGATTCTGGCATGGGGAAGCAGGCTGTGTACGGTTTTTGGCAGGCAGAAAAGTGATTTCTTTAAGTGGCATATGGCAATGCGAAGATGGGGGAAGGGTATATCACGGAGAAAGTTGAAAACTCAACTGAATTTGATGGCAAAGGAGCAATTATGTGAAGGCAGTGAGGTGCACAAAGCATAGTAATTTGCAAATCTACCTGCTCCTATGTATTTCCCAAGCCTTCAGTGGTGCTCTTCCTTGGGGCTCTGGGTTTCATTTGGCATACAAATGGAAGGAACGTAGCAATTGCTAAATAAACTACATGTGGACAAAATGTGAAGGAAAAAATGTAATCTGGTTATCTTAAGGGAAAAAAGTCAGAAAATTACGAATTTGATGTAGAATCATCAAATTGTGGAAGAAAAGCAAGCCTCAAGGTGGAAGCACGAGAATATTGACCAGCTTTTCCTATTTGGTGGTGTTCTCATTTTGTACTTTGTTACTGTATAGACCTTTGACTATTTGGGGGGGGAAATCTTTCTTCAACCAGCCTAGGCTGGCTGCATCAGAGTAAGGCTACAGCTGATTGTCTTCATACTGGGATAATTCTAATTTTAATTTTTTAAATTGAGGAGTGGTGTCTGTTATAATTGCTATTTCTCCATCATTCCCATGCAGCTCCCTGATCTTTGGTACTGACGGGTGGTCCTTCAGCAACGGGACAACCCATCTCATGTGCAGCTGAAGGGATGCTGTGAAGCCCACTGTGTCTTGGTGCTCACGAGCTTTACACCCCTACCGGGGGGACACAGCAGGGATTCAGGAATCGCGGCTCGTGGTCCCAGAGGTGCTATAGCTGCCTGCTGTTCCCCTGGGAGCATCAAGGGCATTTGTATCCGAAAATGAAGTCCAATGTTTCAAATACATGGTAGGCAGATTTGCCGCCGTTAAGTTCTCAATGCATGTTCCATTTCCGAGCTGTTCTTTTCCTAACGGAAAATGTTTTCTGTATGTAATTTAATGCTCTCTTTGGGCCACCTTCCTCTTACAAAGCTGAGAGTGATGTTTGAGAAACAAGGGCAACCAGGCTGTCATGCAGATTTCAGGTAGAATTATACACTCCTTTCATAAAAATTTTCTGAAGGCGAACATCGAAAAAACACAGCATATTTTTAGAAGAGGAAATTCCACTATATTATAGGAAAAATGATATATCCAGGCTAGCCAACTAATAACCTCATACTTTAATTAAGCAGTAGCACAGTTGCTTCTAACCTAAACATAGTTTTCCCTTGGGAGGTGTAAGCGTTGGCAGTAACTACGTTGAAGTGGCGTAGACTATGTGATGGCTTCCCCAAACACGTGGGGGTCTGTGAGGAGGATACCTGGTCATGCATGCAGCGGCAATCCCTTCAAAAGATGGGAGATCACCCAGCACTGTCTCTCTAAGTGAGGAGAGACCTTTCCTGGCACTACAGCTGGTGATGCTCCAGCCACAGGAGAACAGACCAAGGGTCTGTGCCTCATGGGATGTTGGCTACAGCATCCCCCTTCATATGGGCTTGGTTGGATGTCTGTGAGAAGTTGTGTGGCACCTCCTGAGCTAGTGGGACAGGCCATCTGGCAAGGAAGTCGGGCCAGGGTAGACTCCATCCCCTTCTTGCATGGTGAAAGAGAGGAGAGGGAACCCCTTTCTACCACAGCCGAGAGCAAGGACGGAGGTAGTTCTCTGTGGCTGGAACCTGGCGGGGCTTGGCTTTGTGAGCTGAGGTGTCCGGACTGTGCGTGCTTTTCAGGGGATGCGTTTGCACTTTGCAAAGGATGTTCTTGAAGTCGTCCAGGTGCGGAAACAGGCAATATATACTGACACTTTGAGAACCTGCAGGAATCGTTCCCCTTGCTTTCACTCTGTTAACCTGTCCATGTTCTGTTCTTTGTATCGTGTTTAGCCCCTCTCATTGCTTTTATGGAACCTGCTTACCAGGCTGTTTATACCCTTTAAGCATGTTATGAGCAAATTAAAAACAAATTGAGATCCAGTCAATAAGAAATCCCAGCAGAAATATGTTCGCTAAAGCTGTTTTCTCCGAAGATGGAGTCCGCAGCTGTGGGTTTTGTTGCATCCCCTGTTCAACCCTTTTCATCATCCCAGATACCTTTAAATCCCCCTTCCTCTGCACTTTATCCACGACTACTAAAACACTAGAAGCAAGTCAGCCTTTGCTATTAACATCAGCACTTTCCTTTTATTTATTTTAAGCTGATGGCTGTTGAATGGTAGAGATGAGTCGGATATGTCATACCTGGCATCTGAACCTTGATATTCCCAGAGCTGAGCAGGGTTTACTTCTCCTTACTATTTATGAAGAAATAAGATCTAACTTTGGGAAAATTCAGGGTCCTGCCAGTGCAGAGATTTGGCCAAGGGCTCCCATTACCAGATTTCCAATTTTGATGCTAAAAGTGGGCAGAAGAAAAGCTATTTTTGGAGAACCTTGGTATATTCTGGACTAGGTGCTGCTCAAAAGCCAGGTGAGCTCCAGGAAGGTAGAGAGGATTTTTAAGCATTTGGGCATAGTGTATAATAACTGTGTAAACATTAATATTGTTTAATTTACTGTCTTCTCCCTGTTTCCTTAACTTATGTGTGTTAGTGCAAAAAAGCTTTAGCTGCACTTGGAGATTTCCCCTGGCCAGAGGAAGCTGAGTAACGTGGGGAGAGGAATAGAGGTAGAAATGCAGATAGGGGATCAGAAATTATCTCCAGCACTGTAATGTAGTATAATTAGATTATATGGGGTTTGGATAGCTTCATCTTTTATATTTGTATGGAGATCAGGAAAAATGAAGTAATTTGTAGTTTCTAGTATAAAGTAGTAATAGTGGAGACAAGCACAGATTTCACAAGGGGGTTCCGAAGGGGCCCTTTCCAAACGTCTCGGGGAGCCGCGTTTGCACCTTAACAGGGAACAAATGGTCATTGTGGCTGGAGGGACTCAAGGTAAAGAAGGACAGCGTTGGGGACCAACCTTGGGGCAGCTTGGCTGGATAGAAGGCAACTTGCCCATTCCCATCTCATCGTCAAGCATCTTCATTTCCCCTCCGGTGGCTGCTACAGCAATGCATACATGGGATCTCGGGCTATTAGTCTTGGATCCTCAGTTCAAGATCTCCTTCATTCTTGGTGATTTGTGGGTAAAATTTATTGCGTAGAAAACTGGTTTTGGATGTTCTTGTGTTTGCTGCATAGCAGAAAAAAAAATGCTCCAAATTAAATTTCTTTTCAAGGTAGAAAAACACTAAACTATCCCAAATTAAAAGGTTCTGCAATGAGTTTTGATTTCTTAAATTCTAAGCTACAAGAAGAAGGTTGGTTTGAATGGATTTATTAGAGAATACTCTCCTGTTTGAAAAAATATAGAAGTAATAGAGCAAAATATCCAAAGCTGTAGGTAGGTAGATTTGTTGTATTACGATATTCTAGGTTTTCTTCTGTTGTTTAGCGTGGGCCAGTTTTTAAAGTAAATATTGGGTGGTCTCATCTCAAACTCAGTTTACCTTGAGTTGACTGAATCTGTCTCACGTTTTAAAGGGAGGTTCAAAGGGTTTTGACCAAGATTTTCAGGAGCTATGAATAGCTCATGTTTTGAGAGGAGGATTGCGATTTCTGAAAATAAAAGGTTGTTTGTTTTGGGTTTTTTTTAGAGCCATCTTAAGCCCCAAATCACTAGGCATGCTTCTGGTCATCTTGGCCTCTGTGTTTCATTTCAGGTGACAGCAATATGTGGGTGAATTAACTCCCATCGTTTACTATTGTTCCCTGAATGTTTGGGGGGACTTTTGTTTGTGGGCAGATGAGATAAAAATGTCTTTGTGCATTTCAGCAGTTTTAGCCTCTTCATCTCTGTATGTCCATGTATCTCCCAAATCCCTGTGGCATACTGAAGCCGTAGCAGTCAGTTCTGTTGACATGCAGAGCTTCAGCTTTCTTTTGGCCATGAACTTTCTGGATGTGTGTTTAGCTTCCAGTACTAAGGATTGACTATTTTGCAGTGCTTCAGAGCTAGTAATTTTTACCTGTGTGTTATGTACAAAACGTGAAGGGGCGGGGGGGGGGGGGGGTGGGAAGGTGATGCTTACAGAGGTCTAATGGCATGCATTTGGGATGACCATGTTGCTTGCTGACAGTGAATGCACCATCAGCTCTTTTGTGTATGCCCCGTTTTCCAGAACCGATCAGTGTTTTTTTTCTTTCTGAGAACTTAAGTAGCTGAAAACACTTTCCTGGTTCTCTTCAATGACAAGGTACATGGAGTAACACGCCTCACAGCAGACAACTTGGTAGGGTCTGATCTGTGCTGAAGGCAAACGCTAAGCTCATGCAGGACCAAGGAAGGGTTTTGGTACCGAAGGTGGTGGTTATTTGGCAACTAGTTCCCAGGTTTGGGGATTGAGTTGAATTGGTGGATGAAGTGGCAGTCAAGGTGGTTTGAGTCCTAAGGTAAAGGCAGTGTATCACATGGAGGTCACTAACTACACACGCTTTGCATTTGATGTGCGTATGTGTGCTTATATATGCATATATGCTCTACATACTGCTCTTAGCGATTGTGGAAATCTATGTGTGCACATTTACAC